GCCCCCAGCGACGCCGAGGGGTTAAAGGCCGGCCAGGAAAACAGGAGTTTTGCTTCTCCTCCAAGGGCGTCTCGTGGCCCCAAAAGTGACGCCTTTCCCCGGCCTCAATATTCACAAGGCGAAGCTGAGGGGTGGGGGGTTATTACCTTGTTGGCATCCTCCCAAATAAGCTGCAATTACGATGTTAAATTTGGGTCAGGTTGCTTGAGGAAGGTGAAGGTGTGTTCAGGGAAACGGAATAAAGAATTAAAGGTATAACTAAATAAAGAAGGAACTAAAGCCCCTTAGGTAGCAGCATACGGAAAGAAACCAAGATTTAGCCGGAAAGAAACAAAGAAGTCAAGGTATCTGCTACCTTTAGGTGTCCAGGTTGCAGCCGTGTTGGACTAGGGCAGCGGTTCCTGCCCGCGGGCGCCAGGGGTAAAACTTCAAAAGACTACAAAGTTAAAGGGAAGCCGCGTTTCGAAGTTGCGGGTCAAATGCCTTTTTAAGCAACGGACGAGATGATCGAAATTCTAAACTTTAATATTCGTTTTGGCGCCCGCTGCGTTTTTTTCAATTCGGATGTGCCCTCAAACGAAACGTCGGGAGCCCCTGGTTTAGAGGCAAAAGGCATCAGGACCGGTGATGGAGGTGATGTCCTTTATTAGACCAGCTAGATTTTGTAACCACTCGCCGCGGCCGGTCCCACCGTTTGAAAGTTCACATGTTAAAAATGGGTGTTTCTGAGGCCAGAGGTGGCAATGGTGCTGGCAGGTCGTGTCACTTGAGTTCGCAGGGTGACATCGGGGAGCTTGAAAGTGTCAGCCAGATCCCTTGTCTGCTTTCGTATTAGTTCAGGGAAAGCGGAAGGTCAGTAATAATCTTTATTATTGCGCTAAAGCAGGTTAGACTCTCGAGAAGAGGACCGCTGCTGTTATCTGCTCTCAGCACTTCACGTTCTCAGAATGCTGTTGTGTAATTCCTGTTTTGGCTTCTGCGTTGCAGTTATCCTGCCATTTTAAAGCTCTTCTGGTGTCTGGCAAAACTTTTTATATCTTGTGACATTGTCAGCAGCTGGACCGCAAAAAGTTAGACGGCTTTTTCTGCTTGAATCTCGCTTTTGACAGAAGGATCTTGAATGTGCGGGTGACTTAACAAACATGTTGGACATAATATTCCCCCCCCCCCCCCAAAAAAAAAAAACAACCCACAACAAACCCTTTGATCTGTAAACATACTGAAGGATCTTCAGTTTTTGTAAACAGATTTTAAATGGATTTAGTTTAATCAGTATACATGCCATTTTGTAGCATATTTGTGCTTCAGAATTCCTGGTGAGAACATTGAGTTACATTTCTAACTAGGTGATGACTTCATTTTCTAGCATCTCGTCTTGGCAGCAAGTAACGGGGCTCTTATAAGAAATGCACAATTATAATATCGTCTGCAGTGCCAAATTAATAACAGAAAGCAAGCAAAAAAAGAATGAGCTTTTAGAGTGGCCATATTTTTATTTTGTGTGTCTGGGCTGAAGTTGAAAGGAGATGGTACTGAAGCTGAAGCAATCATGTATTGTGGCATACCATATAGCTGGTGAGCCAAGAGTTCAGGATCAGATTATTCTGTAGCAAAAAGAGACTGCAGAGAGTTTAGGCTAAATTCTAAGTGACATCAAAGTCCAGTGAAGGACCCTGGTGCTGGAAAAAGTCACTGTACATGGTCATGCTCTGGTTAAAATACACACTTGCCCACATTATAATGAATAAAGTTGAGTGCATTAAGTCTGTTTCAGAGTAGCTGTATTGGTAGCTGCGTAATAAGCTTTGCAAATGAAAATGCGGTCTTCTTTTGAACTGTTAACAATTGAAAAGTGTTTTAGATCTTAGTCTGAGCAACTAAGCTGTGTTAATTTTTGCGGTATTGTGATCTCAAAACATGCAGTATTCAGTTCCAATTCTGCAAATCCATACTTATGTAAGTAGTTCCATTTTACTTCAGTAGGATTTCACAGACTGGACTTTCTAGCTTTACTGTGCATAGAACTGCGAGAGAACTGAACTTTCAGTACAGAAAGGTGCAGTGGATTGAGATACTTTAATACAGTGAGACCAGTGAAGTAGTTGGGTTGGGGTTTTTTTGGGGGGGGTTGTTTTTGTATCCTGTTATTTACTACATAGGTAGTAAAGGCCATGTCCTAGTAGTCTAATACGACACGTCTAACATGGAACTGTCACTTCTGAAGTTGGGCTCAAATAAAGAGCCTAACTTCCTAATCAAATGCATCCCTGTCAAAAAGTTTCAAGAAGAGCATGCATTCTAGAAGTCATTACTTTTTTCATTGACTTCTAGAATGCATGTTCTAGAAATTTGCAGGCTGTGAAAGCAAATTTCATTATTTTAGCTTAAATCAGTACCCTAAATTCTTTATAAAACTATTTGCTCCTCAAAAACAAACAAACCCTGAAAGGATGTTTTCTGAACAGATCTTTGTGTTGCGTACTATATGTCACAAAATTTGATAGCATTGTGCATGCCTTTCAATTGTTTAAGTATCGCACTGTGGTGAATATATGATAAAGGTATCACTGCAGAGGTTGAAACCTGATTACCATGAACTCTTCA